AAAATTTTATCCTTTCATAATATATGTTAGGAATTTTTTCAAGTTGGGTTAATGAATTTTTAAGTGACGTTAGTGAATCCCACCTCACAAACTATATTTTTTTATTTCAATTAAGGACCATAATCCTTAACTAGAATTTCAAAATATTATGATTCTTATTTAAAATTAATATGCTTAGAGGTCCTTAATTGTCATTTTTCCTATATCTTCTTAGTCTAGCAGTGAGCACGAGCATCAACAACATATTTTCTAATTTCAAGGAATTTCAGCACGTGGTCGAAATCTTCACTGTAGCTTCCTGGAACCCTCGTGTCAGCAAATAGTATTTTAAGTTTTATTGTGATTTTATATTTCTTCTTTGAAAAAATTAATCTTTCACTCATTTAACTTTTAACTACTTATAACTTAGTTTTTTAACTATAATTCACTGTGACTAATCCCTCAATTTTTTATTCACTTATAATTCAATCTTTATTTTTTTATTTTTTGTTTAAATTTCCTTATCAAATAAGAGGGATAAAGAGATGCTCATATATTATTCTAAAATACCCTCATCTTGTTCTTTGATACAAGATTTAAGCTAATATGAAAAAAGAAAATTAATAAAAATTGAGGAACTGAATTATAAATAAGCAAAAAGTTGAGAAACTGAGTTATAGGTGAGTCATGGTTGAGGAATTGAGTCACAACGAGTTATGGCTAAAGGATTAAGTTATAAGTGAATTAAAAGTTAGAGGACTAAAAGATTAATTTTTTCTTCTTCTTTTTTAAGGCAGCTTTTATTACTAGAATAAAATAAAAAATGAAATTTATTACCCCCTATGTCCCAAATTATAGGCACTTTTGAAGGAGTTTCTTCGTGTTAAAATATAAGACACTCTAAGTAGGTTAAAGTTTTATTAAATATATCAATTTCAATATTACCCTCTCTTTCTATAATTAATTTCTATCATTTCTCTTTTCAATATATTAAATGATGGGTATTTTGAAAAGTTTATATTTTATTTTAAAAAGATAAGATTGTTAAGTACATTTAATAAAATTTATTGATATGTGAGACTTTATCTAAAAGTATTTTATAATTTGTGATAAAAGGAGTACAAAAGTTTACGCTATTAATGCGTCATGAACAATATTATGAATGATTAATATAATATTCATGTCTTGTTCAACACAAGAAGCCCATATGTAATCAAATTAAATTTTATTGGTATTTTAAAATTTACTAGATTAAATTAGAACTTAATAATATTGGATATTTTAATATTTGAATTTTTAAATTTCACTAATTTTTTATTTGGAAAAAAAAATGTGTAGGCCCTTCAAGATGAATTATCCGACTTTGCTATCACAATCAAACCAAGAACATTGTATTTAATTAGGTTCAGATTTAAAATTGAAAAATGTCGCATTGGCAATAAACATAAACACACTATTTATATCAATATAAAAATAATTGTCACATTGTCCGGTCTATGTTGTTCAGGAGAATAAACTGTTGTTTGTGAGAGAAAAAGACAAATAAAATGTGAACTCACGTGGCCTCCAATTCATATATGTGCAGGATGATAGGAGAAATATGGAGCACCCTGGTGGACGAAATTAAATTAGTTTATCTTAGGATCTCAAATTTAAATTATAAGATATATGGTCATGAAAAATAAATATGCCAAATGCATTGTCAAATATTTGTGAAATCACTATTAATAATAATAGTCCCACATAGTGGAGTTTCGGTTCAATTTGGACAGGAATAGTAATATTCTCAAGTTTCCAAAACACGAGGTGATTGAATCAAGAAAAGATGGGAGAAAACGTCATGCTCACATAGAGTAGCAAACGTGCTGATTAAACGATAAAAAGATGCTCTTGATGTTGGGCATGCAATCTCACAACTTGATCCTCGAAAAATCAATTTAATAATAGTTGGATGATAATATTTTTTAGGGTGAATTGCTTAAAAAAAAAACCTCCTCAAAGAGAAAATTGTTGTCAGGGACCAAATCAATTTTAAGAACCGAACTAACTTTAATATTCAGAGAGCACTCTAACCAAGTGACCGAATTGTGCCTTTGTGTTAAAAGAACAAAGCAATGCCTCGTCCGATCATGTCCTCGCTCACACCATTGGTTGCTTCTTCATTGACACAGTTTGTCACAGTCGATCATTCCTTTGTCTCTCTGGTGGTTCTCTTATTAGGGAATGTGTGAGAAGAATCAGTGTTTTTTTTTAAAAAAAAAACTATGTTAGTTTAACATAGAGGCACAATTCAGTCATTTCATTATGATGTTTTGTAAATATCAAAATCAATTTAGTCCTTAAAATTGATTTGATCTCTGACAACAAGTTTTCTCTCGAGGAGTTCTTTTTTTTTTTTTTAAGCAATTCACCCTAAAAAAATATTAAGATCTAACTATTATTAAATTGATTTTTTGAAAACTAAGTTGTGAGATTACATATCCAACAATCCAACATCAAGAGCATCTTTTTGTCATTTAACTGTGAGCATGATGTTTTATCCCATCTTTTCTTCCGTGTTTTGGAAAACTTAGAAGTATTATTACTCTTGCCCCAATCTAATCCAAAACTCCACTATGTAGGATTATTATTATCAACTGCAGCCTCATGAATATTTTAAAAATGCATTTGGTATATTTATTTTCGTGATCATATATCTTAAAATTTAAACTTAAAATCCTAAGATAAATTAATTTAACTTTGTCAACCAGCGCCCTCCATATTTCTCCTATCTTCGAAAAAAAATATGGACAAGAGAAGGACATATGAAGTGGAGGCCACGTGACGCCACATTTTATATGGCTTTTTCTCTAACCACCGAAAGTTTATTCTCCTGAACAACATAGACGGGAAAATGTGACATTTATATTCATATAAATAGTGTCTCTATATTTCTATTCAACGCGGCATTTTTCAATTTCAAATCTGAACCTAATTAAATACAATGTGTTTTTGATTTGATGCAAGTCGAACATCAGCAGGGTCGAACATTTTAGGAATGAATTAAGAGTGTATATTTATTCTGTACAATACTGTTCAATTTTTTCCAAATTAAAAATCAGTGAAATTTAAAAATTCAAATATTAAAACATCCAATATTATTAAGTTCTAATTTAATCTAGTAAATCTTAAAATGCCAATAAAATTTAGTTTGATTATATATGGGCTCTTGTGTTGAAAAATACATGAATATTATATTAATCATTCATCATATTACTCATGACTTATTAATAGCGTAAATTTTTGCAATAAATTTCATTTTTTTATTTTAGTAACAAAAGCTGCTTTAAAAAAGAAGAAAAATAATATCATAATAAAACATAAAACACTGTTTTCTGACACGTAGGTTCCGAAAATAATGTTGTTGATGTTGTCCCACTTGGTTGGGGCTGCTGGGCATCGTGTGCTGCTCACTTGACTAATGAGATCTGAACAATTTTGATTTAAACGTTTTTCATTTATATTTATTAAAATAAAATTTAAAATTTTTAATAAATTTATTTTATCACCAAATTAATTTAAATGGTTTAATTAAATATTAAAAATTTTAGAATTTTTTAAATTAATTATCTAAATGCACTCTAAACAATCTAAATTTAATAGTATTTTTAAAAAAATTTATAAATTTTTATTTTGATATATATAATATTAAATTAAATCATTTAAATTAAATTTTTATTATTTATATTGAAAATAAAAAAAATTTATTATCATTTTATAATTTTAATTTTAATAGAAATAAAAAAATAAATTTGGATATTTGAAATTTTATGAGCATTGAAACACACCCTGACGGGGTATTGGGAAGCTAAATATTCTCGTGTTTGTCCATTAACGCGTGACTTTATTCTAAAGTATTAAACCGACACAAAAAATGGGATTCATTAATACTTCAACATTTCAAAGTAAAATAAAAATAATTTAAAAAAATAATATTCATACTTTTAACAAAACATAATAAGAATATTAATTATTAAATGATAACTTAGAGACAGTCAATAAAAAATTTATTTCTAATCTCTACCGAAAATAAAAAAATCGCTTAAGCATTCTAGAGTTCTCCAAGAAGTCATATCTTTTTTGTCATATACAATCAAATTAAGTACATATACATACAAACATGTCAATAATGAGATAAAGTTTGAGACCACTTCTGAGAAAAAAAGAGGCGGCATTGCTATTGGAGTAGTTTGTGGTTGACCATAAATCTATAATATAAAAGACTATTTGTTTTTATTATGAATAGTAGTCATTTCATCCCAAATTATGAGATATTTTTGGAAAAATTAGTTGCTCCAAAATATAAGATGTTTTGACAAAAATAAGATTTTTTTTAATATTACTTTTCCTATTATATTATCTCTCTTTGATATTCTTTGATAAATGGAATATACACTTTTTAAATTTTATATTTTATTTTAAAAAATATTTATAAAATATATCTCATAAGCTTTATTAATATGTATAATTTGATTAATATTGCTTCTGTCATGCTGCTTGTTACACGACAAATTAAAGCAATGAACCAACCACATGCGCGATCACAGCTACTCCAAATTGACACAGTTGAAATTTCCAGGAAACAATAATTACACAACATCATCATTACTAAGGACACAAGTCAGTAGTCACCTCAGAAGCACGGACACGGCAAAATGGCCGGCGTGTCCGTGTCGGATACGTATCCAACACGGACACGCATTCAGGACGGGGGAACGGCGTGTCCCTTTTCCCAGTTTCCGGCTGACGAGGGCGGATGCGGGTCGAGACGGGCAGAAGCGGGTTGGACGCGGGCAGACGCGATTTTTTTGCGTTTTTCAGTTCCTTTTACTCAGTCCCAACTCCAAAAATCCGATGCCCTAACATTTTCAGCTCCAATCGACCCCCCTTCTCATGTTTTCTGCTGTAGCTTCACCGCCTGTGCTTCTAATTCTCGTTCTTCATCTCTCACGTTTATTCATGGTTCACGCTGCGTCGCTGCCTCACCCGCTCTGCTCTGCCTCTACCTATTCACAATTCACGTTGATTCTCGACCATCTGCTCTGCCTCTACCTCACCGTCGTTCTTCAGCTTCATTGGTAATTTATTCTGTATGGTCGGTCGTTTTTCAGCTTCATTTTCAGTTCCTCTTGTTGTGCTGCTGATGGAGATTTTATTATTATTATTATTGCATTATTGGATAATTTGTGTGCTGCTGATGGATATTTTATTATTATTATTATTACATTATTGGATAATTTGCTCACTGCTGAATCGAGAGAGTTGTTTAGAGCAATTGAATTACTGATTTAATTTTTTTTTATTTAGATGGATTATTTTATTGAGTTAAATATTGATTTATTTTAAATTTTTATTAGCTCTCTTCTTGTTAAAATTGCAGGATATTATTTAAAATTAAACCTGCAATGACTTCTAATTCTAAACTCAGTAGTAGTTCAGGAAGTGTGAATTTATAGAAGAAAATCTTGGAGAGAGAACTTATAGAAGAAAGTGATGGTGTCAATGAAGATGAGGAAGTTTAGAATTACTTTAAGTTGATAATTATTTTTTGTCACTTGATAGTGTTTAAGACTTTAAGTGCTTGACTATTATTATATTATATTTTGTGATGGCATTAGACATCTTAAAATTATGTTTTTGGACATCCAAATATTTAATATTTAATTATTTATATAGCCGTACCCGTATCCTAAAATTTTGAAAAATAGTCGTGTCCGCGTATCGTATCGTACCCGACACTTGTACCTGTATCGGTGTTTCTTAGGTAGTCACTATGCAAACATACATACATACACATATATACATAAAAACCCATGCTTCACAGATCCATAATCCATCGCTTCTGTGCTCTCATCAAACTTATTAACTTCTCAAAATGAACCCTAATTGTTCTCCTTTTGAATCAGTTCAACATTACCTGATTGAAGATGATCCTTATTCGTTCATGACTCTCATGAATGGCTACTTCACGGCGACCGGCAACCCTACTTCCAACTTGAACTGCGACACGGCTTCGGTGGATCAGGGAGCTGCTAGCTCCAGTGGTACGGTGTTTCCCGGCGAGAACGACCACACTGTGGAACCAGGTGGTGATAATTGGGTTAAAGGGGAATGATGCAGGATCTGTAGCGCGTGAGGAGAACGCGCCACCTAGATGTAGGAATTACCGAGGCGTGAGGCGTCGGCCGTGGGGAAAGTTCTCTGCGGAGATCCGGGAACCGCAGAAGAACGGGGCAAGGACATGGCTTGGAACCTATGAGAGCGAGGAGGACGCAGCTTTGGCTTATGATAGAGCTGCTTTCAAGATGCGTGGTGGAAAAGCCAAGCTCAATTTCCCACACCTTATTGGATCGGAGCCACCGCCGGAGCCGGCAAGAGTGGTCATTAGAGACAAGCGGTGCAGCTCGCTGGAACTTTCGTCGCCGTCTAACTGTACATCCGAGGATGATGGATCTCAAGGGTCAAGTAAGAAGATAAGCCTGGCCGGTCTATTGAACAAGTTAGCAACAAATGGAAGCCACGTCGGATTCCGTTGATACTAAAGTTGACAAGATTATCCAGTTTCGTGCTTAGCTTGTTCACATTCATGTACTAGTTTTGAAGGAAATGAAAAAAAAAATGAATATTTATATAATCTATAATATTCTAATAAATAGTAGGGGATTAAGTTTGGAGAAAATTTTTTTACTTGATAAAGACTACATAAATAAAAAAAATATGTTAATACCGTTTTATAAAATAAAAATATAAAAAAAATCTCACTAAAAAATGCTCATATTTAATGTCCAATAGTGTATTGAACATAACTACTTCTAATTTGGAGGATTCATGTGTGCAATAAAAAACTAACAATATAAAAAACAAAATTTTAAAGATACACATTTAAAAAAACATTTTTTTTTGGTAAAAAAGGAAAAATTGGTAAGAAGGATCATAAGATAAGGTTATTTAGGAAAAAAGAACTAAGATCTTTCAAGTGAATTAAGAATGTAACCTTAAGTCACTTAATCTTAATTTATTTGAAATATTTTAATTCGTTTTTATAAAAAATTTTATCTTATATGTGATTTTAATAATTTTGCCGAAAAGCTAGACACGGCGCGAAAAGTGAGAACCTAGGAGGCTGGTACCCACTAATACTATTTAGCAAAACTTATATTTGGGTCACAATAACAAAATTTATTATCAAAAAATTTCATAAAATTTACAAATATTCTCAAGATTCAAAATATTGACAACTTATAAATAAGTGTTATCCAATTATCAATGCCCATGATTAGGTTGTAAATATACAGGATTTAAAATTTGAAAGCATTTTATAAATTTTATAGATCTCTTAATGATAAATTTCTTCATGTGAGACCAAGGTATAATTTCTTCTACTATTTGAACAACTATTTATCTACATTATTATGTAATCATTATGCTTTTCTGTATTGATGAATAAGAAACATGTTATAATAGATTAAATAATGTTTAGGAACACACATTTAGTTTTTTTTTTTGGCCAAATACATATGATTGATAGAATAGAACATTGATTTGCAAGTTCTGCAAGCACATGATTGGGAATAAATGAAATAATTTTTTTGGTGAAATAAATTAATTAATTATTACTATAATATTTAATTAAATTAGCGAACAACTCTTTCAGAAGCTAGCTTCAGAAAACAGAGATGATCATACATCCAATGACTTTATTATAATTCATCAACAAAAAAGCAACAACAAGAATAAAAATAAAACAAGAACAATTTACATGCATGTGATGTAACTGGCGTTGAGAATCACCGACTTCTCTCTCTCTCTCTAGAATTTTTGGTGATAATATCTCATTCTAGACTGTATAAGGATAGGATATTTGTTAAAGAAAAATCTGGACACTTCTCTCATCTCTCCCGAAGCAAGTCAATGGGTGGTGGAGCAGTGAAATTTCTAGATACCGTTTGGTAAATACTTTAACCGACATATCTCAATTATAAATATGTGTGTGCATCAGCTACTGTGTGCAGCAGAGAGAATTAACGAAGAAAAAAATGGAGTTATAGAGCAAGAAAAGAGAGACCCTAGTGTGTATGTATTAGTGACTCCGGTGGTATGTCATTTTCGGGCGGGAATAATGACGACGGTTTGAATTCAGGTGGCTATGACCATGATAACGTTACTGGTGATAACACAGGATCTGTGGCGTGTGAAAAGAACGCGCCATCTCGATGGAGCAATTACCGAGGAGTGAGGCGGCGGCCATGGGGGAAGTTCGCAGCGGAGATCCGGGACCCGAAGAGGAAAGCAAGGAAATGGCTCGGAACCTATGAGAGCGAGGAGGACGCAGCTTTGGCTTATGATAGAGCTGCTTTCAAGATGCATGGCAGAAAAGCCAAGCTCAATTTCCCAAACCTTATTGGATCAGAGCCGCCGCCGGAGCCGGCAAGAGTAGTCATTGGAGAGAAGCGGGGCAGCTCGCCGGAACCTTCGTCGCCGTCATCTCAAGGGTCAAGTAAGAAGAGCCTTGCTGGCCTATTGAACAAGTTAGCAACAAATAGAAGCCATATCAGATTCTGTTGACACTAAAATTACAAACTCTATCATTCATCTAAAGTACTATTATCCAGTTTCATGCTTGTTCATTGTCATGTGCTAGTTTGAAGGAAGTGTAAAAGAAGATGAATATTTCTATAATCTACAATATTCTAATAAATAGTAGGGGGCTTAAGTTAGGAGAAATATTTTTTTCCTTCATAAAAACTACATAAATAAAAAAATATGTTGATATCATTTTATAAAATAACATTATAAAACAAATTCCTACAACAAAAGTTGCTTACGTTTAGTGTTAGACAGTGTCTTAAACATAATTACTTTTGATTGAGATGATTCATGCGTGCAATAAAAAAATATCAATCTAAAAAACTAAATTTTAAAAATATAGATTTAAATTTTTTTTGTAAAAAAAGGGAAACTAGGCAAGAAGGATCATCACGTAAGGTTATTCAGAAAAAAAGAAACGGATCTTTCAATTGAATTAAGAATATAACCTTAATTCACTTAATCTTAATTTATTTGAAATACCTTAATTCTTTTTTTATAAATTTTTTATTATATGTGTTCTTAATAATTCCTCGGAAAAGCTAAACACGCGAAAAGAAAGTAAGAACCCAGGACCTACCAATGATACTTAAAGTCTTAAACAACTATTTATCTACAGTATTATTCATATCATTATGCTTTACTGTATTGATGAATAACATGTTATAATAGGTTAAATAATGTGGAGGAAAACACATTTAGTTTTTCGTTTTTTTTTTCCGGCTAAACACGTTTGGTTGATAGAACATTGATACGAGCACATGATTGGGAATAAATTAATTAATTGTTTTGGTGAGGTAAATAAATTAATTATACATCCAGAGACTTTACTATAAATCTTCAATAAAATAACAACAACAACAACAATAAAAATAAAACAAGCACAATTTACATGCATGCGATGTAACTGGGACAAAAAATAATGTTTTGGAACACTTATTATGGCTACACATGACGCCGACTCGATTTTCCAATAAGAGCATATTATTATTTTTTTTTCGGGTGAAGCATATTATTCTTTGAGAAAATGCAAATAAATCCCATCAAAATAAGGAAACGATAATTTGATCTCATAAAATATGATAATATATTCTAAATTTTAAGAGACCTAATTGTCATCAAAGTTTTTGATAAAACAACAAAAATATTCTTTAATTTAAAAAATTGCAACAAAGATTTTTTGTTCAAAACTGGAGTTTTGACATCCACAACTCTAGTTGAGCTAATGACTATATATATTGGTTTAAACATTAATAACTTTCATCATTTTTTTAATAAGAAAAGTATAATAAATTTTTTTACATTTACAACTTTGGTTCTGTAATTCATAATTTTGGTTCAGTAAATGACTATAGTAATTTAGACATTTAAATTGAATAAATCCCTCTTTATAACACATCATCAAGGTAATTAATTAAATTTAAATTGAATAAATCCCTAAACTTAGATTTCAGCCATCTGATTTCCAAGTCATATGCATTTAGAATATTTTATTACTATATTTTATTATTCAAAAAGATATCTTAAATATTATAATATCTAACTAAAATTTAAATAAATAAATAAGTATAATAGATGTGCAACAAATACTATGCTTTGCACCCATGTGATTCGAATAAGCTCAATTAAATTAGTGAGAATCTCAATGTAGCTTCCTGAAACTGGTCAATATTTAAATAATAAAAAGGATATATTTGGACACATTTTTATGTTCTCGTATTACGTGAGAGTTTGAATAATTAAGTTCACATTGGTCTACAAAGTAATGCTTTTTATTTGATTTCTATTTTAAGTAATGTTTGAGTACAACTTTGAAGTCAAGCATTGAATTACTTCTCTCTTCAGTGATTGTTAAACCGTGTTCATCGCCATGGTTGGTGTAGTAATAAGAATGACTTTTGGGCTTTTGGCACATCAACCTCCTCATCTTTCTATTTATTGCTATTATTACAAATTTAGAAGGGAAAATGACAATAAAATCTCCCGAATTATATAAATAATAATTTAATTCCTTAAAATGTAATAATTTCACTCAAATTCCTATAAACTTTTATGTCAATAAATTTTAAAGTGAAAATAATATTTTTACCCTTAATGAAAATAACAAGCACCAATTACAAATTTTGCTTCAAGAATAATAACTTTTATTCTGTGAATCGTAAGAGTTAAAGAAGAAATCACAACTTTTCAATTGTAATTTTTATTATTGAAGAACAAATCCTGATCATAACTTTTGTTTAAGGAATAATAATGTTTGCTTTGTGAGTAGCAATAGTTGAATAAAAAATCATAACTTATCAACTGTAATTTTTGTTATTGAAAAATAAGTTTTCAAAATAACAAACCCTAATCACAACTCATCAATAAAAGTAAAATAATTTTTTTAATTTAAAATTTATTAATATAGAAGTTTTTTGGGACTTCAGTAGAATTATAATATTTTAAGAGATCATACTGTCATTTATATAATTTGAGATTCAAGGGAGTTTTATTTTATTTTCCCAATTTGGAATGAGTCATCCTCATACTATTTATAATTTTGACAGAATATAATTCCTTCTACATTTGATATTTTAATGGAAAGATATAATTGTTGGTCATTGTACTTTTAGCATGTTTTGGTATTATTCTTTAAACTTTTCTCATTGCTTCTAGTCCCTTATATTTTATGTGTATGCAATATTTGTACTTATCATCATTGATGAATTAGTTAAATCACTAATATGTATATAATTCTATTAATTTTATTGCTAAGTTGGTAACATCATGATAAAGTGAGTAATGTTCAAACTAATTTTTGCCTTTGATGCCTTGCTTGCTTATTTTTCCTTCTACTAATTTTTTATCAAGTTAGTAAGAGAAGTAACGGAATTTATGTACACTTTAGCTACTATTAAATCCTTATAGTCATATTTAAAAATATAGGAACCAATGTTTAAGAAGCTTGAGAGACTAGAGCAATTGAAAAAAAAAAAACTAACGACTGTATTCAAAACATGCTAAAAGTATAGGAACCAATGGCCATGCTTTTTGTAACATCCTAATTTTTAGATAAAAAAAATTATGAAATTTAAGTTTTTTTTAAAATGATGATAATAATAGGAATTTATATTATTTGAGGTTATTTGAAAATAATAATATGATTAGGCATTTAATTATGAATTAAAAACTTAAGTTTAAATTATATAAGAAATATTTTGTTAAGATATAATTTTAAGATTTAAAAAAAATTATTATTAATGTGTGTGTGTGAGTTAAAAAAAAAAAGGAGGGGGTTTAGTCCCACATCGGTTAGATGTGGGAATGAAAGGCACCTCCTCATGTATAAAAAAGAAGAGGTGCATTGTGGCGGAAGCATGAGGAATTTTTTATTACAATTTGTGAAAATTGCAACTAAGGGCCCAAGATGCAATTTGTGAAAATTACAAGTAATGGCCCAAAGATTTGAATAATTAAATTCAAACTTATAGTTTTTTTAATATAATTTTGGGACCACAATCCTTTTTATATTATTTTTCTCTCTTCCTCTCACGTCGCTCGACATTTTCTCGCAAGGGAGGATTATTTTCTTTTTTTTCAGGTATGTTCTAATTTTCCTGTTTAGATTAACATTTAAAAATTTATTTAATTACAAAATTAATTTTATAGTTATTTTCTAAATAATATTAGCTTTCTAGTTACATGATTATTTTTAGGATAGAGTAAATATTCTGATTAGAATTTTTCTATATGATAGTTAATCTGATGATATGATGGATTAAAAATATAGGTTAAAACTCTTAGGGATATAATAAATATTATAGATATTTTTTGAGGTTGAAACTCATGTTTAAGAATTTTTGAGTTAAAATCTAGATCTGTATGGTTGAATTTATGTGGAATCTGAGTTGTAGGGATAAACCTATGATTATTAAATATTTATTTAAGTATGAATAGGTATTTTTGAGGTTATAGAAAGGTGATTTGAGGCTTCAGGATAATTTTAAAATTTTTAATTTATTTTTGGATGAATTTTTAGAATATAGAAGGATGAAATTGTGATACGAGAAGTGATTTGAGGATAAAAAAAATAGTTTATTAGGGTACGAGAATTTTAGAAAAAGAATTTGGGAAGTTAAATGAGGCATAAATCTTAAATTAGTGTTAATATGGATTATAGATCCAAGACTTTCTAACTCTTTAAATTAGAGTTATTTATTTTAATGTAAAATTAATATATAGTATTGTGAAATAATTATGTAGATTATATTGACAAAGATAGTGGTGAAAAAGGAGTTGTGAAGGGAAACTTGTTATTCAAGACACAAAGTAACCATTATTAATGTGTTGTGATGGGTGTGTTTGTGAATGGTTATGTGTTGTTTTATTGTTTGAAAAAAATTATGAATTAATGAAAATAAATACTGTATATATATACTTGTTTGAAATTATTGCCAAATGGGTCAAAAATTTATTTTTGTTTATCATGATGAGATATTATTGTTCGGATATATTTCTGTTTGGATATTTGAATGATGCATGACTTGTCAGGGTATTTTAATATATGGTGTTAATGAGAATTTTGTTCGGTTAATTATTACCACGTGGTAAGCCCTCATTGGACCCAATGAGTGGCGTGTCGCTTGGTCCAACTCATCTTTGGCTAGGTGATTTGGCGTCCGAGCATGGCGAAAGGAGGATATAAGGTGTAGTCATGCAAATTAAATACTTGTTCGGTTTGTTTGAAAGTATTGTTTGGTTAAATGTTTTGTGTGCCCACTTAGCAATCGCATGATTAGTTACATCCGCATGCATCATTACATATTAATTTTTGGTTACTGAGACTTTTAAGTCTCATTCCCCATGGTTAATATTTTTACAGGAGCGAGTCCGGCTGAGAAAGCACCAGAGGTATAATTATGGTGTATGAGACACCATCTTTTACGTTGCCTCTTATTTTAGATTATACAATGTATCTTGTACCAACTTAGGACATATCT